AGGTGCCTGTCCCTGCCTACTCAGCTGTTGGGAGGCCCCATCTGCAGTGCTGTGCCCAGACCTCAGGCCCCCAGCACAAGAAAAACACAGAGCTCTTGGAACGAGTCCAGAGAAGAACCATGAAGACGATCAGAGGGCAGGAAAAAGCTCTCCCCCCATTGCTGTGCTACAGGGCCCTGCTCCCCCTCACTCCCATCTCCACCTGGCTTCCCATTGAGATGAGAGAAAGGCAGTGGCTGTGGTCTTCATGCTTCACGGCCTAAGTACCATCAGGCGCCAACTCAAGAACAATTAATTGCTTTCTTTATTATATGGACGGTGGAAGGCAGCAGCCCCATCCCAGGCAGCACTGGCCCTACCACCTCACGGCCACATCAGCAGGGGCAGCCAGCAGCTCCAGGCACCACCCCGCAGCTGGCACAGCCATGCTCCAAGAGCACAACGCTGGTGGGCCTACACTCAGCTCTGCAGCTGCTGAGCAGGGGCTGCAGGGGAGGGCAGCACAGGCAGCACCGGCTTTTTTGTTGCTCTTCTGTCTTGCAGATGGACACAAAACCAGACCACGGCAGTCTCTGCCAACCAACTTGTCTGCACCCGATCGAGGCACCGAGCAAAGCACAAGGAAAGTGCACGGCCCACCCTGCACCGCTCCATGCTCAAACAGGACCTGAGGATCTGACCGCATGCACAGAGGCAGCTCCACAGCAACTCCCGGCTACAGACCCCACCACGGACCTGCACACACACAGACGTTCTCACGAGCAGCTGCTCACTGCTCACTTTAGGATGGAGTCAGGACCTTCAATATGGCACACATCAGCATCTCCAGGAGCCATGTCTACAACTGAACTTCGAAGATAAGGAAGGAAGAAGCTAAAAAAGGATGGGTGAGCCTAACAGAAATACCAACCCAGAAGCACTGGGACTAAGCATGCTCCTGAGACCAGGGAGGAAAGTTTAGAAGCGATGAAGACTGACAGCCTTCCTCCCTCGACCCCCAGATGACCACCAAGAAGCAATCACAGAATTTAAAAAAAAAACAAACATCTTCAAATTACAGTTTCTGATTCATTAAACCCACAGTGCCTCTTCCATTTCACGACATCTACACCACCAATTTCTGGGGAGGTTTCCTTATTGTCATCACCTCCTCCAGTTTATGCATCTGTATACCAAAGAATCACAGAAAGTTTGGGTTGGAAGGGACCTCTAAGATCACGTAGTTCCAACCCCCTGCTGCAGGCAGGGACACCTCCCATAGCCCAGGTTGCTCACAGCCCCATCCAGCCTGGCCTAGAATTCTTCCAGGGAGGGAGCACCCACAGCCTTGCTGGGCAACCTGTGCCAGTGTCTCACCACCCTCACAGTAAAGATTTCTTCCTAATACCTTGTCTAAATCAACCATCTTCCACTTTAAAACTGTTTCCCCTCATCCTGTAGCTACATGCCCACATAAAAAGTTGCTCCCCAGCTTTCCTGCATTTTGCTCACATTACACACGTTGAGGTCCTTTCCAACCCATTCTATGATTCTGTGGTTCTATGACTAGTCCCACTCCCCTGTGCTGAGCAGGGACACCACAGCTCCATCAGTGCTCTGAGCCCCTCCAGCCTGACCTTGGCTGTCAGCAGGGATGGAGCACCATCCAGGGATGGAGCCTGCGCTACTGCCTCACTACTCTCATTTTCAAACACTTCTTCCTCATATCCAACCTGAATCTTCCCTCTTTAAGCTTGAAGCTATTTCCTCTTGTCCAGTCACAACAGACCCTGCTGTAGTGTCTGCCCCCTTCTTTCCTACAGCTCCCCTTCAAATACTGAACAGACATTTCTCCTCTGCATTTTAAAAAGGCCAGATTTTCAAAGAAAACTCAATTAATCTTAATCAGTTAATGAGTGACTTGTGCTTGGGAACGTTACCTAGACTTTGGAGAGAGATGGAAACTTCATGTTTACCTGTTAAACATACGTAAAGCTTGGACTTGGTTAAAGTTTCTTTATTTGAACAGATCTTTGCTGTTTAACATCAGTGTTTTAATGTTTCATAATGCGTAAACTAAGAAATGCTTATGTTTTCTGTTGGAACTGAGATTCCACCGGGGCACAGGAAATCCCAAAGGCAGCTGAACAGGTCTGTGCAACAAGCTGCCTTCTTGGCTGCAGGGATCTCTGCCCTGCCCCACTGTAACAACCTGGGGAAACAAAAAGGTAAAAAAATAAAAGCAATAACTGACATCACCTCAAGCACTTTGAGACCTTTGGAGACTGCTGAGACTGGACACAACATCCACATGAGATTGTATAGCTGGTGACTTTTTCAACTCTTGCACCTCCCTGCCCACCAGCCCATGATATTTACTGAGAGGTCCTCTTGAAGCATCCTTCTTGCTGCCTCTCCAGCAGACACAAGCCTCACTTGCCCAACAGCTGTACCAACTGTTTGATCTGTAGTGATAAAATGAGAACAGACTTTGCCTGGGCTACCTAGAGAGGTGCTAAGCCTGTGTGCATCATATCTCAGTGTACAAGGAAGCCATAAACCACTCAAAAATCAGTGCGGCAACAGCTGTATGCGGGTGCACATCTGGCCTTACCCAGCCCTAACACAGCTCTGATGCCTCCAGCCATGAGTCCTGCACAGTTGCCTTGAACCTGTGCATCCAGTAGGGCTGTTTGCACAGCAGCTCAGCTCTGGGAGAGCTCTGCGCCGGAACTTACCTGTAAATCGGGTGGGATGGCTGTTTTCATCTCCTGTATTAAAACGAAGCCTTCATCCAAGAGGGCCATGAAACAGTTCTCAAGAAGTTTTTGTTGGTCTGGGATTGAGCTGTAGCCCCGGAACAATGAATTTTGTCACATCTCGATATTTTCATATGTGAATAATTATGGACAACATTATACTAATGTGATTCCTAAGATACATGGTCACTCACCTGGCATTTGGGTAGTTTCCTATCCAGAGAGAACGTGCATGATTATTTCAGGAATATTCCCCCATGTGAACAGTTGCTATGTCTTCCTCTTTTCCAAAGCATTTCAGATATATTGTGGGGAAATAATTGTGTTTTTTAAGCATCATGGTAAACAGACAGCAGGAAGAACCCCACTTCCAAAGGCTGTTTCTTCTGCTTCACCACTGAATGCACCCTCAGCAAGTTTGTTGATGACACCAAGATGAGTGGTGCAGCTGACATGATAGAAAGAAGAGATGCCATCCAGTGGGGGCCTGGACAGGCTTGGGAAGTGAGCACATGAGAACCTAATGAGGTTCAATGAATGCAAAGTGCAAGGTGTTGCACTAAGTTTGGAGCAATCTCAAATTTGTGTACAGAATGGAAGAAGAACTCCTTGAGAGCAGCACTGCAGAGAAGGACTTGAGGGTCCTCGTGGATGAAAAGCTGGGCATGAGCCAGCAGTGCATGCCTGCAGCCCAGAAGGCCAACTGCATTTCTCAGAAGGAGGGTGGCCAGCAGGGCAAGGGAGGTGATTACTCCCCTCAACTCTATCCATGCGAGGCCCTATGTGGAGTACTGGGACCTCAGAAGGACATGGAGCTGTTGGAGCAGGTCCATGAAGATAAGAGGGCTGGAGCACCTCTCCTATGAAGACAGGCTGAGGGAGCTGGGGGTGTTCAGCACGGAGAAGACTCCAGGAAGACTCCATTGCAGCCCTCCAGTGCTCAAGGGGAGCTAATACACAGGAGGGAGAATGACTTTCTACACAGTCTGACATTGATAGGAGAAAGGGGATTGTTTCTAAACTGAAAGAGGGGAGTCTCAGGTCAGATATTAGGAAGGAATTCTTCATTCAGAAGGTGGTGATGCCCTGGCACAGCTGCCCAAAGCTGTGGTACCCATCCCTGGAGCAGCACTGGGCAGCCTGAGCTGGGGTGGGAGGGGAAGGAGAGGAGAGCAGCCAGCCCACAGCAGGGATTGGAGCAGGGCAGGCTTTAAGATCCCTTCAACCTAAGCCAGTCTATGATCCTATGATTATATGTATGTCACTTCAAAACTAAGACCTCAAATTTATTTCTATGGAAACCACAGCAGATATGAAGAGCACAGTAACACAATTAGGTAGAGCAAATTCTCAGCTACAAAAGCCTTTTTTCCAGCATAGTCACCACCATTAGCTAGGCATTTTTGCCAGTGGTGAACAAGAGCCTGCATGCTGTGCTTGTGAGATTCTACATGGCTGTCTGGAACGTGGCTTGTCTTTCCCATTGCTGTTATCACTGCTGAAATGCACCACCCACCTCACTGTTCTCACAGCCACTGTTTGGTCTCTATAAACACTCAGCAAATGTCAACAAATGTCAGTGGGTGACATTTTTTCTGCACAGAGGGATTCAGTTCCTCACCTTTGCTCCATATGCATTTGCATGTCAGATGCCACTGTGTCAGGCTGCCCCTCTGCTGCCATCTGTCACACAGCAAGAACATGTAATGGAATACCAGCAGGAGGGTTGCCTGTCCACTGCCATCCCACCAACATCTGTCTTTGACATTGTATATCAACATCATAAAATGGGATAAAATACTGTCAGAGCAGCTTTCTCAACTGCATGGCAGGCAATGACATTCGTTATCCGAAATGAACACAAATGACCTGCAGAAATGCATGCATCTATGGGTACTTCACTGATATTTTAGAGGCAAGTACCATGAAGAAACCTCACAGATGCTACAATAGCGTTGTCAGCGTATTTATTTATTGCGCTCAGCAGTCAGGACGTAGCTGTGATGCCCAAATACCCACAAGATCAGAGTATGCCTGAGTTAAAAGCAGTCACCACTCTGTGCCAGACCGTGTCCAACAATCATTTTATTTACTAAACCATTGTAGCAAACACCATTCAACACATAGAAAGAACGCCCGTAATAAAAACTAAAATGGAAGTTGCACGCTTTGATATTGACCCACCCCCTTTTTAATGACTTAAGGTAGAAATTGGGTACCCATGGCTATGGT